AGCAGGAAACTTCGACCTTTACCTAGAGGAGATATCCTGATAGTTTAAGTGTTGAAAATAATAATAATCCTTCTAAATTATGTTACTGTTACAGCACTGGGAGCTGCAGAGCACAAAAAGGGGAAGAGTCCAGCTGTTGTGCAGCTGGGGAGCCGAGTCATGGGGAAGTCGTGGGCAAGAAGGTAAGATCTGGCTAGCCTTAATTCCAGAATAACTTATGTAATTCTTTGCCTGAGCCTTATACCTTGTTGAGAAAATGCTTACTGATTGGCTGGGCTATGAGAAAATGGAAAAGGCTGACACTTCTTTCTGCCGTTTGGTGCTCCTGATGCTACCTCTTCAAGCCTCCTATATAAGAGACCAAACAGTAGCTGCCTTACTCGCTGTACAGTAATTTGTCTGGCATATAACCAGAATCACAACACTCTCTAAAATAAAGACTTTCTAAACACTTTGCATTCCCCTAACGGTGGATAAATGCCCAGTTAATGCTGTAGGAGTCAGATGCATATCAACTGAATCCTGAGCAGAAATTCATGGTTATGACTCAACATATACCAATGAAAACTAGATCCTTTGAAACATGAAAACTAAAACCTGTGAAAGACTCGTTACCAAGCAAACAGTAAGCATATATTCCACCATCCCCAGCATTTTAAGGTCCAGATGGGCAAGGCATTGGGGTTTTTTTATGCTACTTTTACAGAGAATGACTCTGCAACTGAAAAAGCCTGGTATTCTAATTTACCAGCTTACTTGGGTGAGTTTCATCTGGCAACGTTTGTACTAATTTCAAAAAAAGAGATAAAAAAAGGAAGAGAAAGAGATTTATCCGCACTTCATGAGGATCCAAGCCATAAACTGAATCATACATCATTGTGTAAGCTACAGAAAGCATGCTAAAGTGACAGCCCTCAAACTAAAATATGCCTCTTCATGCTAGCAGCGTAGTTCTCAAAATAGCTTATAGGAGGGAGTCTGCACCCTCTTTCAGGTTCCCCATCCCCTTCTTCCCTCAAGTGCAGGGCCGGTTTAACAGAGCTCTGCTGGCTACACTTTCCATAGGGAACAGCCTTGTAGAAGGGGGACGGGAGACCGCCTGGCATGTTATGCTTGGGTGGAAAACCCTACGCAGCTCTACATCTACCGAACTGCAGATCTGAAGGATTTTGAGAACCAGATGAAAGCAATTCAGAGAGGTTCTACTGTCATAGGAAACTGCTGATGAGGTATCAGATCTAATGCAGAGTTTCAAATATGTAACTAGTCATATGTTACACTTTGTTATAGATAAGCCATTATCATAAAGTAGCCCTGAACTTTCCGGGAAGTCCATGGTTCTCTGGTGCTATAGGCAATAGACAAGTCTAACTTACTTAAAAAAAGTTGGAGTTTTTCAACAAAGAAAAATTACAAACAAAAAAGGCTGAGTCACAACGGTATTCCTGCTTTCTTCTTTTCTAAATGCAACCGCTATTTTTCCTTTCAAAGCGCTTGCAAACAGGTTTCACCATACTGCTGTTCTGCCAATGCTGATGACTGAACGATTCAAACAACCAAGTGACGTTTACTTTTTTACACTTTCTTATGTGTAAAGTTTCACTCATGAACTCCTTCTGTTCCATAGCAGAGCTAAGCACACACCCAGAAAATTGAGACTATCTTGCAGAGGGTTTCATAAAAATAAAACATTACAGCTTCAAGAGCCATAAAAAAAGTCTAGATTATTAACAGAGATTAAGAGCATTGCGCTGATGCAATTAGAAAAAATCCACACGTTTTGCTTTTCAGCTTGTCTTAGCCACACCATCTTACCTTCTTTAGAACCAGATATATTTTGGCTTCGCTCAGGTTTCTGTTTTATCAGTCCTGCGCTGCTAACACAGTCTTTTAATTTAAAAACAGAGTCCACCAGAAGCAGCAGGGCGATACCACCTATCCCGCTGTCAGCACGTGACAGCACATGACAGCACATGCATTAGCCAGCAATTGATTAATCCATCGGATGTTAGCTCTAACAGAATTGCTTTTTGGTGCTTCATTTCTGGTCAGGTTTTGGTTGATTTTAATTTAATTCTGGTCTAAACAGCTGTTACTTTCTCAAGCCTGCTGGTCTTCTGCCTGACAGCCGAGACTCCTTGTCACAGGACGCTAAAAGACATAACCTCCCCTCAACGTTATCAAGAAAACCAGGTAACTCAGAAAAGAAACACATCCACTGCAACCTCCCAACAACATGCACAGGAGCAGACAGGAAAAGATTACTTTTCAAAGAACCACTCACCATTTTCAGACTTCTGCAGGGAGTACTTGTAGTTGGCATTTACAGAACTACCAGATCCCATGTTCTCCAAACAGTGGTCCTAGAACGTGGCAGACTGGCCCAGTGTCACCAAAACCACGAATGAGATGCAGGAAAGACCATTCGGTCAGAATGAAAACAGCTGCAACATGTCCCACAGTGCCAAGAATCTATAATTAAACATATTAACACTTAAGATCAATGAGCAGATGGCCTATCTTGTGCCCAAGTGTGTCTTCCACCACCAGGTTTTTCCGGCTACTTTGTTGTCTTCTAGACAATCAGAGATGAGGATTTCTGCCTCGCTGTTTCAAATTTCAAGTCAGCTATATAAACAGGAATCATTTCAGCACCTTTCCTAATTGTATAAAAATAGCAGAGATTGCATATCTAGGTACTGCTAACTGTACAGCAGAGGTATAAATCAGGCATTGGTGTACTCTCACAGTGTGCTTCACATGCTGAATTTGAGGTTCCTATCTCTTAGCAATATTGCAGTGTTTGACCTGAGCCTTCATTTCAGATGCTACAATAAAATAAACTTGACTGAGTTCTGAGAGCAGATTACATTTCTGAATCCTCATGCTACCTCCCCCCTTCCTCATGCACAATTGAAGCACCTTGATGAAGGTGCTAAAATACTACTCGACTGCATGTGGGAGGCCATCGTACACGGTATAAGGAAAAAAAAAAGTTTTTAAATACTGATCAGGAACTATAGAAGTCATTAAGTTGATTCATTAACAATTAGTACATGCAGACAAATATTCATGCATACAGCCATCTGTGAAGGAGGGATGAACACACAGATGGTATTTAGACGTATTTGCAGTACCACAGCTAGAGGGGAGATAAGTCTAAAATAACAATTAGCTATCATAAGAAAATAATCAGCTTTGTTAAACACTGCTTTCCTTCACCTCGTGGATCTGCTTGAGTGTGGGAGCGTATTACACCATCAATTGCTCAGATCCTGGCCAGTATAAAAGGACAGGACAGCAGACTTTTCTAACCTCACTGCTGCAGGAAGCTCTGGTCAGAGCAAACAGATCCTATTTCAAAGCTAGGTCAAATTCTGAAATCTGTCACTTTGAGGACAACCAGAATGTCATTCAGAGTCAGACATGTTTCCTCTGAAGAAAAAAAAAAAAAAAAGCCATCATGTAGGAAAAACAAAACTCCATGCACTACTGCCAAAGCTGTCCCAGGCTGTATCGCATAAGAATCATACAGTCTTTCATTCTAACCCAGAACTGGTAGGGAACTGAGAAAGGGTGGGAAGGAAATAAACACCTGTAAAAATGTTAAGCCTGGTGCTGGCAGGAGACCACAGCTCAAAGGATTTTGAAGGGTCAGGACAGTGTGACTACAGAGGCAGTTCTCCCCAGCGGAGGGAAAAGTCCTTCTCCTTTTCTCACTTCCCGCAATGCTTTTGCCTCCTTCAATCTCCTTCCACCTAACCCACGTCTTTCCTCTCGAAATAGCTACAGATCTGCACAAACGCTAATTGAAGGAACCCGTCTGGTGTTGTATAAGGCGCACGTGCGCTGTGTTTGCTCAGGAAGATGAGCCGTACTAAGCAACATTTCAGCACGGAAAGTTTCTAAGGCAGGTGAAATGCTGAGATTCTCAACCTTGCCGGGATGCCGAATTGCACAACTGCACCTTCACAATAACTGGGTCACACAACAGGAGGATAGGTAGCAACGCTCTCAACAAAATACCAGACACTCTTGTTTTATTCTAACAAAATTGTTTCATATCAGTGTCAAAAATGGCCTGGAATCACTGCTGTATTATGCCCAATTACATCCAGTGCTTTATGGCCTTTGTGCTTAAATAATGCAGGTACTCTGGCAACTTTTCGGATTATTAACTACTCAAAGGGACAAGTGCACACAAAAACCTGAATCCCTAGCACTTAAGGCTCTTATTTGTAACCTGTACAAGGCAAATCCCATTTCAGGAAAAAACAAATTTTCAAGTGCAGAATTTCTCAGTGTAGACTTAGAACTCCCCATCTGGCTGTTCAAACAAAAATTTCTATTCAGTGACACAAATCTGAAAATTTCAGCAAGCATTAGCTATCCAGAGAAGGAATGATCCGAACGATTCGCTCTGTATCGGGAGCTGGCCTTAGAAATAATCATCCCCAAGCGCCGCCATTACTGCATTCTGGTATAATCTGGCAGGGCAGTCTGAAACAGCACGACACGGGCCCCTTTCAGATGAAAGGACACCAGAAGACACACTCGAGCTACTGATGGGAGTTCAGTCCGCGGGACCAGGTTCAAGCCAGTCCCAAGAAAAAAGCCTGAAACGTGGTTAGTGTAGACAAATGTTCCTCCACGCTGGAAGTCAACACAGCCTGCATGCCTAGCTGCAGCTTCAGCGCTGCTTAGGAACCTGACAGGACCAGCTTCAAAGGAAGAGGGACGCTTCAGCTTTTTGGAAGAGATGAGTGCCTTTAAAGATACCTTTAAAAACACAAACATGAGGAAAAAAAATCCTTTTTCGGGAACTAAACCACTTCCAGATCACTTTCTTAAAACGGAAAACAAATTTGAAGCAAGCGCTCAAGTACAGAGTTAGGTACTTTGCTTGCTTAGGATGCATTCAGGAGTACTGCCTATCTGTTTTGATAAAACGTGACCTTGGACTTGAGAGCACCTTTGGAAACACAGAATAAAACTTTTCCTTATTTCTCTCCTTTCCTGAAAAACAAACAAGCATTTGTTATTTCGACAGCCCTACTTTAAAGGTAAATTTCGTCCATCCACATCAAGGGATAGTCTAGCATTAGTGTGCCCTAGGAGCGCCTGCAGAGAGCAAGCACAGGCAACAGCTCCTAGCTGTTCATCTTGCTGTGAAAGGTCTTGTAAACAGGTCTCTCCCGAGCAATTCCTGGAGCTGTGAGCTTTTTCACTTTGTTACCCTCAGATTTTTCTGAGGGCCACAGCCTGATCAAAGGAGCACACAGCAATAAATCAGAGACTCCAAATGGGATCAAATCTGTTAAGGGTGGAACGATTGAGGAATAAATAGAGCCAGTCCAGCTGCTCAGCACATCTTATCCTTGCTCATCCACCCCTCCGCTTCCTAAAATCCTGTACCCAAGAAAAAGAAGAGGAACAGGGGCCCATAAAGACACAGCTGGGAAGACTTGATGAAGTTGAACAGCAGCATCATCTCAAATACAGGCTGTATTAAACAACCAGGTGAGACAAAATGATGCAGCTAAGGCTAAGGAACAACTGGCCACAGACTGCTCCTTTCTCATCTTCCTCTCGGCCACCATTCCCCTCCTGCAGAGACGTTGACATTCCCTCCAGTGCAGCTAGAAGGCCTCTAAAGCAGGCTTTGCCCACGCCTTCTGAGAAGCTGCAATACATGAGGCTCTCCCCTGGTATAGGCTGCTGCACGGAGCATCTGCTAGCAAACGTGCATGCTAAGTAAAGCCCGGTGAAAAAACCCGCTGTATGCACTTATACACCAGGGCAGAACTAAACCGGCACCAAAAACCTCACGGACTCAAGCCACACGTGGACATCGACAACTAACAGAACAACCAAGCTCAGGGCCTCAGTAGAAGACCGCAGACATGTAGAAAAGATGCACGTTCCCCGTGCACCAGAGTTAGCGTTCTAAAGGCAGGAGAAACATGTAATAGCCACATAAACATCCACATATCCCTCCCAAGCCAACGGATAATACGCTCATTTTTGCAACTCTTAAAACACGAGCTGCTGACTTGTTTCGCAATACCATATAATACCACATAAAATTCCTTAAAGGAAAACTCGCACAAATCCATCTGTGTCAACCCCCCCAAAACCAAGAACAAGGGAAGCCTAGGTAAATTTCCTGGCTTACCGTAAATATTACTTTAACTCCTTCAAAACCAAAGCAACTGACAGCATCTTCAATCAAATCCTACACGCTCTGTCACATCACTGAGCTTGTCCACAATTACAGACCTGCGTGGAATTTGGTGAATGAAAGGCTTCCTGCAAGGAACACTGAAGCTAACGGGAAGCTAACTCCAAAACAAGGAGGCTCCTAGGGAAGATGACACACTTCACCTATCACATGCACAACTGAATCCCCGCTAACTTGACAATTCTATAGACCTTTGGACAACTGAAGGAAGAGATGAGCAGAATCTGGAAGGCAATGAGAGAGTACAACAGACATACTGCAAGTTTACTAGGAAAAAAGTTAAAACCAGGGAAACAGAAATTTTAAGTTCTGCTAAAAGAAAACCAGCAACAATTTGTTTAAGAGCTACGGATGAATTAAGAAAAAAATAAAATACTTCTCACAAGACTAAAAGTGCTAGCTAGCACTAGGGAAAGTGATGATCCTGCCTTGCCCTCCCCGAGTAAATACCTATGTGTGTCCCACGTGTACATGAGACTCGGCACATCTCGTAGCTGGAAACGAGATGGTAAAGCTTGTTTTATTTTACACGTGCACTGACCTCTGTACCTGCACCATTATTGCAGTACCAAAAAGGAGGCTTTTCAGTAGAAAACTCCCAACTGTAGGTTTATAGAGCTTGATGTATAAAAAGGGTATTTCACCTCAAACTATGGGTGCCAAGTAACTACTTCTGAGCACAAAAAATTGTTACAAAGGAATAAAAAGAAAAATGCAACTTACCTTGCCACCAGTTTCTAATGGATTTATTAAGGTAAACACAATAGCAGCTCTCCGCTTTTTAAGTTCTTGTTTCTGTTCAGTACCCAAAGTGATCAATAATCTCAGAAGTCATTTGCTTGATTACAGATTCAGAAACTCTTCCTCAGAATCTAAATAAATCAAGTAAGCTGTTCCCTTGGGCACGCGGCAGAAAGCACCCTGTCTTTCAGCACCTGCAGCATAGAACATGCGCGCTGTTCTGCAACGAGTGCAGACCCTTCGATTTATTTACTGCACGGTTGTTTTGAGCAGCCTTAAGAATCCTCTCCCATGTGATGCTTAAGAATGGCTCCAGATCTGAAATGGATTAGGATTACTGAAGAGGATTATGAATGAGAAATGCAGTATGTCGGCCTCTCTCCTCTGAAGAGTCAGCTCTTACACACTTTCAAGTTGCCTTTTGCTAAATGCAAACTTCTGGAGGAAAAAGAATCAACGGTTTCACCTATTCCCTATGTTGGGCTGAAAAATCTTTTGAGCTTTGTAGCTAGAAATCTGTACTGCAGAAACAAAAAGATGGAAGGAGCAAGGAAAATGCATTTAACTTCGTTCTACTTAATTACTCAACAATTCTAAGTCACGAATCCAACGGGGCTTGAGAAAGCAGCAAAGCTGTTTTACTTCCCAGTCTCTAAAAAGTGGGCACGCAAAGCAGATAAAATCTCAAAGAGAAGGACCGTCAGTAAGCAATTCAAACAACTACAAATGATCCTTTCGTAAAAAACAAACAAGGTCCCAGAAAACACCCAAACCCTCCAAAACCAGTCAGCAATACATGTTAATGTTTCCAACATTATTAAGATGGCTTTATTTGAAGTATTAACTACCCTGTCTCTATTTTTATCGAATTTCAATTTGTACGCAAGAGCAGCTCAACACATTTCACAGATTAAATCATCTAGTTTGTAAGATGTGTCATTTACCACTTCCTCACTGTTTGTATTTTTAGCATGATATTAAGCTAAGCCCAGAAAGTTAGGTATCTTTCCAGTTAGCAAAACTTAAGAAGTATCCAAGTGACCAAATAGGTTTTACTTTGTTGGCAATCAGGGTGTCTGAACATTTATAAACAGATGAAATGCAAAGCTTTTTTAAGGAACAAAAGCAAATAAAAGAAAATTAGACTTCTTCAAATCTAGTTTATTTTTGTGTTTGAAAACCAAAAAACCCCTACATTTCAATAATCTGCTTTGTGGCTGGGCCTGAGCTAGTTCTGAACAGCTGATGAGACAAACAGGACAGGAGCAGACAACTGTTTCCTGAATATTCAGGGATTCAAAAAATTATACACTCCAGATCTGTTTGTACACATTGAAAACAGATACATTTGATGCAATTTATATACCACTGAGAAACTGGGCACGCCACTGCCAGAGGATAATCAGCCTGACATTGCTGAGGTCAAGACGACTATGCAAAATGACACCTGTAAGGATCCTTTTGTCTTTACTTGTGGGTGGCTGTTACATAAAGAAAACCCGCTGCAGTCGGGAGTCAGCGCCTGCTCTGTGAATTAAAGCAACGTCGTTCTGGAATCTCAAAAGATATCATGACCACTGTTATTTTACATCTTCCTCTGGGAACTCTGGTTTTTAAATTGATCACTCTGGCATATGACTGCTAACATTATTGTCCAAACTGGGTCAAGGGAAAGCTTGCAGCACGTTTATCCAGGCAGAAGTAGAGGATGCAGGTAAGTAGGTTATGACACTTAGCCAGACTCAGCACAAGGAGATAAAGGGCCCACATCTCCAGAAAGCTCTCAGGAACAGTTTGCATAACCAGCGCACAAATACTGCAGGCAACGTTGCATGTATCTGAAATGGTGCTCTGACCTCACACTGGTCATACGTTCTTCTCCCATGTAAAATTCTTACAGGAATTTTGTCCAGTGAAGAACGGGACTGCTAAGCTTTACTTGAAGTTATCTATTCATCTTGACTCTTCAAATCCTTCTGTATTTCTGGGGTGCTCTCAAGGAGTGCCTGAATTCAATATGCTGTCACAGCACAAGCAGACAAACCAACCAACCCCTCTGCACTATAGAAACTAGTTGTAAACTTGCTGTTGAAGGCCACTGTCAGGAACATAAAATGAAAACCATCCCTTTTCTAACCTCATTGCTATCCCATCACAAGCTTCTCCCATCTGTTGGGGATAAAAGCCTGCATTATGACACTTCCTAAAAGACCTCCTGATTTCCGATGAATAAAGCACCGTAATCTACAGCTATACACAGCCATCAAATACTGCAACCGGCTTCCTCGAGAGGTGGCGATGCCCCAACCCTGGCAATGTTCAAAAGGTACATGGACAACGCCCTTAACATGCTGCAATTTTGGGTCAGCCCTGAAGTGGTCAGGTGAGGGGTGTAGGCCCCTTCCAACTGAACTATTCTATTCTTGACTCCAGTCACCTTTCATAAGCTTGCTAAAACCAGCTGAAAAGCCTATGCACCAGAGAACCACAGCTGAAGGGCAGAGCAAGTGCCTGCAGTGGAATTCACACTATGGAAAGTCACATTCCTGTGTACCAACAGAATAACTTTTCTGTTGAGGAAGGTTCCACAGAGCACATCAGGACAGGGTGGCCAAACTGGTGTGGTTCAATGAAGGCTTAAACAGTACCAGGACCTGTGGCAACCCCGCTCTGCCATTACAATAGGGTTCTGCAGAGCTCTCTTCGGTCTGCCCGCTCCCCCAGGCCAGTTCTCTCTGGGCAAAGCATCTGACCCTGTTAGATTCACTATGACAAGCCCATCATGCTTTTCCCTGATCTGTGAGGACATTAGGAACAACACCACAGGTCTTCATAAATCAAGCTATCAGCTGCATATTTTTTAATTATATTCAGACCTACAGGCCACACAAAATATATTAATTTTTTTATTAGTCAGCATATAAAGTACATTTAAGTTGTACAACTCTTTCCAGAAACAGTAAAAGCAATTTTTAGCCATCAGCATCTGCTAGAACATCAGAGTAATTACAATAAAATCAAGCTTCCATTATATTTAATTAACATTATCATCTGCAACACTTAGAAAAATTGACAAGTCGTTATTTCCTGGATGGTTCACATAATTAACAAGCCAAAACAACCGTACTGCTATACTGCTTGAGAGTGATTTTGAAAGCATATGCCAGTCTTTGAAAGCTCCAGCTTTTCACTCATATTGTCTGTTGAAATAAAAAAAATGAACATAAATAAGAGAGCACAGATTTGTATGTAGCCAAGAAAGAAAAAAACTCTTCAGAACATCTAAAAGAAAGTAATTACTCTTGCTAAAATCAAATGTCCAATATAACTGCTAAAAATATCATACTAATAAGAGTTTAAAAACCTATTTGAACTGGAATGCAGTTTCTTGTGCTCCTGGCAAGACCACACCACCAGAGTTTCTTGGAATAGAAACACAGCTTATCTTTCTCAGAACACATTGAAGCTCTACCATGCGAGGCATCTTGTGAGTTCAAGCACTTTGACTTATTCTGCAAGTTCACAAGACAAAACCCTCAAAGGATGCTAATGTTCCATCACTTGTGACCAGCTGTCACAAATTAAGCTTGATCTTTCTTGGTGCCAAGTGCACCAACCCCTCTTGCTGGGATTCAGGTCACTCTGGCAGGGCTTCCTGTCATAGTCAACCACCCGGAGACATGCGAAACGTATCGCAGTAGCGGGACTGGTAAAAATAATAGCTAAACGTTCACCTTTAGGTCTCAACACCACCCACCCCTTCCTCTCTGATAAAGCACTTTTCCCAAGATAATCTCCAAGGGTTTTGCAAAGAAAGTCAATACTTAACTCGATCTCTAAAACAATAAGGGAAGGTATTTACCCAAGGTCAATAAGCAAACCAAGGGGAGAATCAGGAATTCGGACTAGGTCACCTGAGTGCCACTGCAGTGCTTTGTCCCTCAGTGACTCTTCTGCTGAAATTTTTATCCAAGTACAAGTAGCTAGGGAATACCAGCACGCTACTTACAGCTCTTCACTTCACAGTTCTGATCCATGTCTGGTACTTATCTGGAAACGCAGCGCTCATTACTGTGGTATACACTGTGTTACTGGTAGGAAAAGGGAATGAGCAGAAGAGTGAGTAGCATTCCCAAGGAAGAAGATTCTTTTCTAAAACTAGCAAAGCAGCACAATGAATTTTACTGGAAACAAACATTCTGCTTAGGTGCAGAAGGGTTAGAAAAAGTGGGCGAATGAGTGATTAAAGTGAAGGCTGCCAGTACTAAACCACTAAATTTCTTGGTACTAAACCACTACATTTTTAGTATTTTTTCCCCACTTAGTACAGCAAAGCAACCATACTTCAAAATCCATTTGATCACCGCTTTAAAAAACAAATCAGTATTGCTAATCTTAGTAGACACACAAATATCAACTCTTTTCCACATTTCCTCATATTTATAAGACAGAGAAGTAGTCCTGGTATTAACTTTGAAGAAGCTATTGCCAAGCTCTAATGCGAATGACTGATCCCAAGAGAATACTGAGCTCCATATAAAAGTAAACCAAAACACAATAACCTCTGCAAAGCTGCAAATTGTAGAACAATACTGGTATACTGTAATAAATCTCTCAAAAATCCAGTAAATGGTACCTAAAAGCTAGGTCCCCGATTACAATTTTTTTTTTTCCTTTTTACACATCAAGCAGAGCTCCAGCAGAAACTCCAGAGAAAGCCATTTGCAGTGTTAACACAAATCCAAGGGTTCCCAAAGTGAAAGGCACAAAGGACTGGGCAGAAAGTGTAGCTGTTCCCCTAAGCAGTCGTTTGTTTCACTACTACAAAGGAACTGCCCATGACCAGACTGAGCCTAACGAAGCGTAGTTTCTTGGGTAGTGGCAGCCAAAAGAGGAAGGGTGCTGTTGAAGCACAAACAGAGCACCACGTGCACAGGCAGAAAATTAAGATGGGAAACCGCAAGATATTCAGACAGACACATAGGAAAATCCTAAGGGAGTTTGTGTTGACTTTTAAGTAGCCTGAGGCAAGGCACAAGGCACCGATTAACATCTCTAAAACTAATACTTACTTGTTTAAGACTGGCTTCACTGACAACACCTGTACAGAAAGTTTGAAGAGCTGTCATTTTGGTCAATGAAGAGGGAATTAAAAAGCTATTTAGAATAATGCAAAGTCAAGGATTTCTCTTGCTGGTGTTTTGGTGGGTTTGTTTTTTTAAACAGACTATCTTACAGAAATATTTTTTAAAAGCCCTCTGAAATAAGCAATGTTTAAGTTCTCCAAACTAACATGGTAAATATCACTCATGTCTAACACTATCTGCCTGGGGTAATATTTGTAATTGTGCTTGAAATCAGGAACCAGACAAAGATGCTGGAGACAGGAATCACATCTCACTCTAACTTGGATTGGCAGACTATTACAAAATGCCTATATGCAAGGGAGTTCAGAAACATTTTAACAAACTTTATGAGTCGTAAACTCTCCAGACAGGGTTGTGCAGTCCACCTTTTTCACCACGCCCTCCTTGCACAGCTTTTCAATTCCTGACAAGAATGCAACTACACTTTGAGAAAGAATTTTAAGTCAAAGTCACAATGCAGGATTTAAAAGAAATACCTTAAAGAGCGTATCGAAATTGATGTTCTGCTGTCCAGTAGCATTGAGAGCTTTGATGGCTGGAGTTCTGTAAGAAAACACCACAATATTAAACATGCTCTAGTCTTTCAAAGGTTACAGAGAACCAATATGAAAAATTTCTCACTAAATGCCTTTACATTGAAATGCCAACATGATTGCTTTGGCCTAAAATAATCCTGAGTTCTGTGGGAGTGAACGTAGTCTCACACGGCTGAAGCTACTCTATTACTACACCATTGAGTACAGACCAACAGGGAAACTGCCAACAGCTTTTTGCATGCTACACAACCTAAAGACTGTATGATGTCTGCGAGCACTTTCCTAGAGCCATCAAATACTTTTCCCCTGTGAATCTAAATCCTTTCACTTCTACTAAACTTCACTTTATAAAGAGAAATCTTTTGTACGTGCCTTATCATTGCAATTTCTCATCTTTTATGCCATTCAATGCCACACAGACTTTCCTCTCGCATAAATTAATATCGCTCCTTACCATATCTATTCCCTTTTGAGTGGCATTACAGAACCTGACAAGCTGCCTGCTCAACAAGCTAACACCTGCTCAGAGAAGAAAACACTCAAGTCTAAGCTCTTCCCAAATACAAGTGTTGTCTCACCACAGACCTCCAAACTAAATTTACCTTCTATCATCAAAAGGAGGAGGAGTAGTCCAATGGTCATAGTTTGTCTCCACACGAAACCACCTATAACACACAAACATAAAAGCAAGCAAAAGGTGAATAAAAGTTCAAGAATCGGTGTTTCTGTATTGCCAAAAGGAAAAAACCTCCCTCAAAAGCCTCTTTCCTGTGTCTGTTGCAAGCCCAAGGGATCCCATATTGATACACATGGTAGCCTTTACCATAAACTACTGAACTCCTGCTGGCATCAGCGACAAAACTACTACTGACTACAATAAAAGCAAGATCAGACCTTTACAGAGATGATCAGAGAAAAGATTACAGCTATAGATACCATGCAGCCTGCAGCATTTAATTTGGAGTACGCTGAGCCGACAGGCCGTCCAGCTGTTGCCAAGCCAATATTTACTGGCTGACTGTAGTCACTAAGTGCCATTTTTCACCACAGGGCAACTATTTAGGATCTCCTTCATATATTAAGCTACTGATTTCACAGAATTGATACAGTTATTTTTGAGCCTTCAACCCTTCTTCTACGTTGGGTCAAAATTGATGTCTAGGTGCTAAATTTACTGGCACAATACTTGACAGACAGAAAGGAAAAGCCCTCAAGTCTTGTCTCCTTTGGAATCTGGCTAAAAAATGAACATATACAGATGCTTATTCTGCCCTTGACCCTCTGGGCTGCCCTAGCCTGCCAAGGCAGTGTGATTCGTTCTCAAAGAGAAGGGACTGGGTTTCATTTCAGAGGCTTTCAACCTTTCCCTGTCCAGCTGTAGGCATGAGTAAGAGATGAGCCTGGCTGTCTCAAGAAAGTTGTCTCACTAACCCTGCCTATCCCTCAGGAGGGAATATGAAAAAAAACCCCAAACCATTGTTTTCTACTTACGCTCCACCTAAAGGATCGAGAGGCCAGAGGTCGGCTGGCCCTCTTCTATTCCTCGTTATGACCATGCCTTCTTTGGGCGATACACCTCCTACAATATAGTAAACTTCAGCAATGATGGGAATGCCCGCTAGTCTGAGAACAGCTGACTGGAAGTCCTCAGCTCTGCTCAGGGTCTAATGCAAAAAGGAGATCACAATGAAACAAAGATCACAGAGCACAGTCAAGCACAGAAACGAGCACTGGGACATCTTGAAAAGAAGAAAAGGTCCAGCTTTTTTCAAAATGGCAACTGACTGTCAAGCGCTACTTGAAAATATTTCTCTGAAAATAGTTTCCCAAACTGACTAGCATATGAACATGAAATGTGTATGACTAGTAAATTAACTCATTAATCCCTGCTTTGCAAATATTCAAATAAAACAGTAAATACACACACACACACGTACACATATGTACAGGTTGAAAAGTGAAAAAAGCTCTATGTGCTGCCATTCAAAAGGCACAGGCATGTCCATACTCTCCAAATTCCATCCTCAGCAAACCTTTCAATGTGAACAATAGGATAGATGAAGGGTAGGAAAAACCCACTCCACATCTGTGTCCTGCCAGTGGTTTAAGAGCACTCTGGTCAAACAATGGAGAGTAAAGCAGAGGCATTGCTTACAGGTGACTAACTTAGCATCAACTGGCAGTTCCGCCACAGCCTATGTGGCTGCTATTTTCAGGCTTCAGGCCAGAACCTACTGAAGTACATCTTTAAAAATCAATGTTGCGCAGGAACTAGAAACAAATATGGAGAACACATATCAAACAAGATTGTTCGGAAAGATGGGGAAAGTCCTGGAGGAAAATTAATTATTTCTGACAGCAACACCGCAGCCAGGAGATTCGAGTCACAGCCTCAAGTCACATCTCAAACTCAAAAAATAGAAACAATTAAGTCTCCCAAAAGATGTTCCAGTTCTGCAGGGAGTTTTACCTACAAACCGTATCATTCATGTTCACTGTCATTCATGAATCTGAGAAGCAGCAGATCTGTTTTACCTTAGCAGTAGTCTAACACTAGATTGATAAATGGTGCTATACAAAATACCAATTTATCTGCTGCCACTCACCAGTGAGCTCTGCATTTTTAGTACAGTAACATATCAAACATAGTATAAAATAACCACCGAGTCAGATATTAACCACGCCTGAATTTGTTGAATTACAAATCACAGCTACCTGAAATACTCCCTGGCAAGGAAGTCTTTGCACAGCTTCTTAAAGACTTTTGGCATTGATTAAAGATTGTCCCCCCTAAAGGACTGGAATTGCCGCTCTCATACACATTGCTGACAATTTGGGGAAAATACCTATCCCCTCTTATGAAATGCACTTACTTATCAATTTACTTAATTTTATGTGCATCTAGAAGTTGGAACATCACATTTACCAGGAGTTTGTAAGTACAAATAACATCACTGTGAAGTAAGAGAAAATAACTCAGTGCACTTACGTCTCGGACAAGCCAGCTGACAGGGTAATTGCGATTTAGAAAAGCAGCTATTGCATTTTCCCACCATCTACCACCCTCTGGGAAAGAAAGAAAAATTACTTTACATGTATGTTGCATACATTCTGTGAAATCTATCCTTCCGCCTTCCTTTCTTTCCCACATCCCATCTCTAGCTCCGCAATCTTTCCCTCCTCTGCATTACAGAAGATCAGTGTGATGAATTCTTTAATTCTATATAACTATACCTGTATCGTAAAAACACCCAAGTTAGGCAGCTTATCCCCAACGGATAAAGCACACACCATCTCAAAGTAATCGGAGCCTCTCTGCCATCTGGAGTTTATCAACACTGCTTACAACACTGAATGCTGATAGCACTCCTTCTCTTTTGTATTACTTTACTGATAGCTATACGTAAAAATGCAGGATCTGCTGCATAACCATGCTAACACACCCTGGCAAGGCTTCATTTTACAACATTTGTCTTCCAAATGATCAGTTTTCTATATCATTAAATTTGGATATTGAAGTACCTCAGAAAGCTAAATTCCCAGTGAAACAGGGCAGCTACATATCTGCATAAAATGTCGACATTTCAGGAGCAGGGCTAACAAAGAGCATAACATCTAGCTGAAACTACAGGTGAAATATAAATAGACAACGTAATCCCAACTGAAGTTCAACCAGGGCAGCTGGATTAACACCCTTGCTTTCCAGAAAGCGTCTCAGACCAGTAATGACAGGAACAATCATTATCTTAGCCAGAGGATGCCATAAAATGGTAGGGGGTCTGAAGTACGGTGGGCAATAAAGACGACAGTGTTCAGCACCCTACAGACAATACACAGTAGCTCTGAGAACATGCCAGTGCTAGCCCTTTCCATCAAAAACGATCACGTTCCTTTCAGTATTGGTAACTTGCTAGCTGCTCGGTTTTTAAACCATTTTTATTCATAGCTGAATGATAAGCAACAGAAAGTCAACGGTGACTGTAACAGGGACTAGGACTTTGTAACACACATTCCCAAAAGGATTGCAGGTCTATTCATACAATATAGTAGTCTATATCTGTCAGCTCGAGTACTAGCATTAACCACCTCGTTATTCATCTTACTGAAATATTACATAACACAGGAAGAATTACACAGAAATCACAAAACAGCTAAAAAAGAGGTAGTGATGGTGTTTGTGTTACTGGACAACATCAGGAGCACTAAGAAAAACAGAAGGTCAAGTTTGTAATTATTCATATGCCAAAACCAGAAAAAGCAAGCAGAAACAATATGCTTGTCACTTGATAGACCTTCACCCTAGTTTCAAGTCAGCCCCCTCTCCAGCTACAGTTCACATGCTGGTTTCCCCACATTTTTAGTTCAGTGGTACAGTGACAGATAAAGCAGCAAGCAGTCAGCAACAGCTGATTTACACAGCATGTGTTGAATGTATTACTGTTTATAGTTAAAAAGTGATTGAAGTCAAGGCGGATGACAGCACATCAGCTCCTCATGGACAAGAGGGGCCCATCCATCACACGCAGAAGTCTGATTCCTCTATCAGAACACTTGATTCCTCTATCAGAACACTTGATTCCTCTATCAGAACCGGGAGAACAGAACAGGTTTGTGCACGGACTAAAACCGCCTCGACTGTTGTCTCAGATGATCCTTATACTGAGGGCTGAGACACACTGCTGAGAAACAGCAGGGAGAACAGGACAGCACTGGGTTTGTCCCCAGACTGGGCCTGGTCACAGACATAGGACTTTGGTCTGCAAGATTTTCTAAATAAAGCCTTTTACAAAGACTCAATATATTTAAGAATTTATTTCCAAGCTCATGTTAGTAAGAACTAAAAGTAGCTTGCATCTCAATAGCAGCCCATGATGCTCCAGTTCTGAAAGGATTAAGTAACTACACTAGTATCAGAGGCAGGCTCTTAAAAAACAAATATGACTGTAAACTGTGGTAGGAATCGAGTGGATGCAACAAGGCAGCGTTAACAAAGGGACAAGGAATCAAAAGGTGCATGGGCTCTATAGCAGAATCCCTACTCAGAGATAATGATTATGTTTGTAACATACGTAATCTTTTAACATCTAAAAAAATTTCAAACCCAGAAGAGACTCTAATTAAAAGATTGCTCTATAGCAGAATCCCTACTCAGAGATAATCATTATGTTTGTAACATATACGTAATCTTTTAACATCTAAAAATATTTCAAACCCAGAAGAGACTCTAATTAAAAGATTAAGAGGAAAAATTGCTTACCACAATCACAAGGGAAAAATAAACAGTTATTTTAGATGTTGGTTCCAACTTGGGACTACATTGGTGCTAGTTCTAACACACACAGCTAATTAACAACAGCAACAAGTATCTACCTCTTAAAAAGAAAAGGAAAAAGAGAGGGGGAAGGGATGAAAGAGGCAAACCCAGGCTCTGAGTTGGACATAACTATCAAGATCTGTGAAACTGAAGCGCTGATGGAAAAGGCAGTGACCCTTCCTCTGCCTTCCCAAGCATTCCAAGCCCTTGTATTACCAAATCTTAGTTCTTGATGACGTCTCTCAACTTTCCTCTACTACCAGATCTTTGCTCGGCTGCCTTTCCAGTATGCCCACGCATTCTCTCGGCCCTGCTGCCTTTCCCCTAGATCTCTCAGCCTTAGGCTTGTCTTCCCATCCTCTCTTTCCAGCTGTCTTATGGGGACAAAGACACATGGAATACAGAGGAAGGGACAGAGAACTAGGAAAGCAGCCTTTTATTTGCTATACATGACTACATCTTTTTCTCTCAACTCCTACTCTGTCATCTCCAAGCCTGTCTCTTGACCAGACCACATAAATTTGTCTCTTAAGGCTTTCCCCAAGATACTCTGTCTCCTTTTGACACTTTTTCAAGCTCAGATGACACTGTGCTGACAAACAAAGGCCTTTTTCCTATGCAGCAGCCAAAAACTGGCAAGCAGGCATGCTTTCACCCCCGAGTCATTCCATTTCAGCTCCTTCCTGGCAGCCTTAATAGTATTTTTCCCCTCTGGGAAAGTGTGAGAGAAGGGCCAGAGCAGGCAACTGTCAACTGAAATAGCGTACGTAACGTCAAGTGTGGAAGACCGGTTTCTTTTACCTCGTTCATCACCGGAGATCGTGAACTTGTGTGGACTTTGTCCAGTCCATAAGCCTACGTAACCAAGAAACGTGGTACCTTGATATGCTATCTGAAACCAGGAAACAGGCAGTATTTTAGCATTCTGGAACAGAGCACAACTTATAAAATAGGCAGCATTCTGAAGCAGCATGCTGTACTTCTTCCTGTGACTTTCATACCGAAGTTGCTATAAAACACTGTGCCTTAAATTACAGTAAAACCTGCCAAGTAAATTATAAATAGACTCTGAGGACAAAATTTACTGCAATTAAATTGTGAATGATCACCAACTGCTACAAAAGTTTTGCTCAAGTTAGCAAGCACTCAAGCAAGAAACAAAGAATTCTCCACTTGCAAAAGGGACTAATGAACATTAAAAAAAAATCACACTAATGAGGACTGTGCTAGCAACTAGTTCATTTTTGGAATTCTTCATCCCACACACATAGAGGTCACAAAAATTAACAAGGCCTTAGAAAAAAGCCTTGGAATCAGTCCCTAGCAAAACTGATTTATTTTCTATGTTCTCTAGGGTTTTTTTTTCTTAATATCTCAACGTTTCCTTCTCTGAACACCTCTTCCAAACAATGACCTGGATAGACTGGATTATGCAGTTCTATTTGTTCCAGTTTGTCACCACAAACCAGATGTCTAGGAAGCGAAGAAAAGCCAGCATCCATCCCATATTCCTAGAGTGAGTGATTGCAACGTGCCCTAATAATCCAGCAAACTTGGGATGGGAGCCACATTCCTACACTAAACCCCCACTGGCTACGCCACTGTACAACCATACCCCGTTCCTTCAGGGAACACCCCCCAGCCACGTCAACTGCAGATCATACCTGCCCACTTTTTATGAACCGCACATCAATTGTAATCTTGCTTAATAGATCGACAAAATCGTAATCCAGGTTCCGCCCGTGGTAAATATTTCCTTTGGCATCCTGAGCAACAATGCTAGTACAGAACCTTCAAAAAGAAAAAGGAGAAAGAATGATTTAAGAAAAAGCTATGACAACGCTTTCGATACTATAGCTGAACTAGCTCAACATTTCAAGAGGAGTAACAGAGTTCATCTTCTGCAAAGTATTCTCCTAATGTAAACATACAAACAGGAGTTCGCATTGTATCATTAACACTTACGCTTCTCAACCTGAGAGAGTAGTCTCATCCTATACTTTTTACTGAAGCTCCTTACAGGTTTTAATTTTAAATTGCAAAAAAAAAAAAAAGGGGGGGGGGGGGGGGGACTGAAGCCCTGCATAACTACCCATCACTACAGTGTCCTCTTTGAGTTATACACAATATCCATAAGGGAAAGTAGTTTCCCACAGAGTCTAACATACTGAACTGTACAATACTTACCAGGTCCCACCTGGCTCAGAAAGTCAAAAGCCGCACTACTGTCTGCACCAGGACAGGTATTACAGACCAGGTAGGAAGCAGCATTTCCACTTGGGAAAAAGTTTCATTATTTCATTCTACTACTTTTCTAAATCAAGATGAAAAGCCAGCATCTAAAAGTGTCCACAAAGTATCAGTCCGAAACTTTCTGGACTTCGTTTTGACAATTATCAATTATTTCACTTCAATTTGGACCCCGTTTATATTTATAAACACAACTAGATTAGAAGTTCTAAGTCCTTTCAAACTGAAACATCAGTTGTTGAAGCATCAGCCATTTGAACAAGAGACTAACCTCTAGAAAAGGGAGTTGGCTGAAATTCCTTTTTTAGTAACAGTTTCAGTTTCATTGAAACAGGCTTTTTTTATCAAGTATATTGAATTAGCAGGGAATTAAAAATTTATTTTCTCTGGAGTTAAAAGTTTGTCATTCCAGTGATGCATAGTACTGCCTTGCAAAACTGTAACGGTGAAAAATTTTGCAGACAAGTAGTTTTTTCCCCAGTTGATGTTTTTTCTTTAGTATTATTAGAGCTAAGAAACTTAAAATTTCATGGGCCTTACCAGAGCTCAGAACGTTCAGTGTCCTCTGTGAAATACTAAGGAAGCTACCCTTTAAAGGACTATCTTACCCGGTATTAATCCTTATTAAAAAAACACCACCTTAACCAAACACCACACATTAAGAAAAAGAATAATCAAAAAGCATGCAAGTGGCTGCGTGCCTCTGCTGTTTATTAAAACCTATAGAGAGCCACGTTTTCAGGATCCTCACAGGCAACATCAAGCGTTTGTTATCCTCCTACACATGCTTCTAGGGCAAAAAAAGACAACTGAACGGAGTATTTTTTCCAGTGAGGTTTTGTTTGCTGCCATAAAGATACGTTGTCCCTTTTCCCTCGTGCAAATCAAAAAGTTGCATTATACAGTCGTTGTGAACATTCATCTAGATGATGGTTTGGAAGCAACTTTATCTCAAGTGAGCGGTTAAAATAATTAGATTGCAACTAATTCTTCTAGTTTCCCTTCTGGGGAATACAACAATTTAGACAAGAGAGCACATTATATCATCTTTGAAGAGAAATGAACCCAAATACTTTGAATGGACAGCCCTTACTTATGAGCAGAAATTACTTTCATACTTTTATACATTTATACAGATGTACACACCCAAAACGTTACAGCTTTATGTTACCTTTCTTAACAAAATAAAAATATTTTTCTTGGTCTCTCGTTCAATTCAGGATACAAACTGCCTAATGAGAATGAAACCTTCCAGCTGAGCATATGACATGGTACAAGAAGGAACAGTGCCAATACCTGCCATGTGTCTTCACCTGCCTTATTGTGCCTTCTCTCGCGCTGAACTAAAGCGAAACTCTACGTCCATTTCTACTAGATTCTGTAAGTACCAGACACTTACGCAGTAGATTCATAGGCGAAGTTAAGCAGGACTCCATCTCCAAGACTTACTCCCAGCGCTTTGCACAGTCCCCGTATTTCCCCCGCAAAGGGTTGCGGCATAAAGAACTCCAGTTCTGCTGCTATCCGCCGAATAACTTCGTGGACCCATTTTGGTACACGTTCACTGCAAAGTACACTCAAGGCATTAGCTAAGAGACAAAAAGGTTTGCAACTTACACCTGGCAGTCAGATACTCGAGGAGCCCGCCGCATTTCCAATCGGCCTGTCCCTGCTGGTGCTGAGCATCAATTAGCAGCCTCTCCCGTGCTCTATCCAGCATCCCTACATCCCGTCTCTCACCGAACGACAGGTTCCTAAGCATTATACCTAATGCCATACGCCTGGTGTTCGGGTTGACGCTCAAAAAGCCCCTTTATTTGTGAGTTCGGAGAGCTTCAGCAGCCCTGCAGCATCACTTGGCCCTTCATGCAGGCCCCGCAGCAGCGGGGCTGGCAGGGAGAGGAGGAGGGCTCCGCGGCGCCGGGGCGGGGGG